GGGCAGCGGGAGTGGATTATACTGCAGGAGTGGTTTGAGAACTTCTTTGGATGTTTTGTTACTTTTACTTTTGCATTAAGAAATGAAACCCGCCTCTACTCATATGAAATCAAACATTAACATTCAGGGGAATAAAGCAAAAGCAGCATTTCACATAGCACATGATGTCTTTAATGAATGTATCTATTGTTAAGAGTGTCATTTACTGATTAATTTGATCACAAAACAAGATGCATCAGGATCTGGGTGGATTAAACAATTCTTTGCTTGGCTGAACAATATCCTGGGGGAAACAATGATCAAGCATACACAAGCACACAAAGCAGATTTGTTGTTGTTGTTAATTTTTACAAAAACTACCAGTTACTGCAAGTCATCAAATTTACAGGTGCAGTGAGTGCAGGCCACACTGTCTGTCCTGCCACTGCTTGTACTGCTGCTGCTGCTGCTTGCTTTGAACTCCTGCCAGCATCCGTCTAAATATAGACTGCCCCCTTCCAATGTGCACTGCGCAGTAAAGGGCTCCTTGTTTATCAGACTCATCATGAGGAAATATAAACTTGGCTGAACACATTCTCTCTCAGTGTCTCTCTACTCAAAATTCACACTACCATACTTCTCAAGACACATTCTCTCTCACAGTCATCGCATTGCAGGTGGCAGTCTTGCCACCAGCTAAACAAAACATACTGAGTTAAAGGAAGAACTGATTTTGTCAGACAGAAATTGTTGGATGTTAACTGACCTCTTGAACCTTTACTCTAGATGGCCTAAGCCTGTCTGTCAAAGAGCAAAGCCTGCAGATAATGAACTTACCACTAAATCCCAGTTATTAAGCTCTAACAGAGTGATTGCCTCTGCAATGTTGTCAATTCCAGTGCAAGCCTGTGAGGGGAAAAAAACAAAGAAAAATGAATTACATGAGAGAAAGGCATTGTATGAGATTCTGCTAGTTTGTTTCATGAAACGCTCTGATCTGCCTGAACATAAAAAACACATTTTGCAACAAAAGGAGGAGAAAGCATGAAATAAAGAGGAACATTTAAACTATATGCTACCACCCATAACTGCAATATTTCAGTGGTGGCAGTCTTCACAAGAACGAAAGCCACTCAGTGATGTCTTGATCAAAAGAAGGCCTCCAGTTTCCTCTGATTATTGCCTGAAACCTTGGACCCTTGCAAAGCAAGCTAAACAAAATATGTTCTTCATAGTATAAAATGATTGCAATACTGCCAAGTGGATCCAAATACACCAATTACACTTATAGCATTAATGATATTAGATTTATCTATCTGCATTCTAAGTGTAAAATAAGACAATCCAAATGATGCCTTTCATTTCCTTTTATTTTGGACTGATATGTCTGTTAGTGTAACAAAATCAAACACTGATAAAGTGATGACAATTTCTAACTTTGACACCAGCTGTTACCCTTTGAACAGGTAAAAAAAGAAGAAGCCCAGAGTCAAATAAACCTTTTGAAAAATTGCCTAAAACTTGCACAGAGCAGCATGTGTGACCTCTTCGGTTCTGTGGTTCCCAGCTTGCAGAAACATTATGTATTTGTACCTGTCCCAAAGATATTTTTATTCATTAAATTATTTGAGAAGCTGGGCAAAGGGCAAACTAGGACATGGGAGCGTATTTTGCAGATGTTGAAGGAAGTTTACTTTCAGTGCAGGAAAAAGACTATTGAACTATTGAACTGTTAAAGATGAGTTTTGTAACTCAAGGATATGATCATTTTATTTAGGTGGGGGTACAATCTGCCAACAACAGTTAAAGGTCAAACATCATTACAGTTTTCAAAAATTTTAATGATGTGGTGCTTTTGCTGTCTTGAATCTGTTTGTTTAGAAGTTTACAACCTCTTTGTTTAACAGAGCATAAACAGAGCAGGAAAAAACCTGGAAAACAAGGAGCATTGTGTCCTTTTGAAATAAAAAAGAAAGAATTTCAGTTTTCTTAGGTGTAGCTTAAGATTTTACATATATAAATGGCTTTGCATACATATATACACACATATACATATACACATATATATATATATATATATATATATATATATATAGCTTATGTGTTTTTGGTGTCTGCTGGTATTTATGTTTTTGTGTGTTTGATATATCTATCATGCAGTGCATGTTTCTTTTTGTTTAATAATATATGCTGTGAAGACAAGAAACAGATCCCAATTAAATGTAAACACACAGGAATTATTTCTGAAATGGACAGAGTTTGACCCCTATGTCAATGATCTATTTAGACAATAAATTTATTGTGTCCTGTCCTAATATGAAGGAATGACATATCCACTCTCACCCTAACCTAACATCCAAAGCAAATGAGTTACGAGTAACAGTAATGCCTGTTGTCATATTTTAAAGTGAACTTGTTGATTCAAAACATGGCTACAATAACAACCACAATAGAGGGACACTACCAAATAGAAGGCCCACGATTAATTTTCCAAGATTATATTTTAGACGAAGGATGTATATTATTTTAGTACTGATGTCAATAAGCATAATAACAAAAAAAGGATGCTGAATTACTGCCCATTTGGAGATGAAGCATAATTCGGTAGCATGCATTTTCTCACCATCAAAATATAACTTTAGTATCCTACAAGCAAATTATTATTAAAATTTGGTATTTTCAAGGGCACACACAGTTTCTGACGAGGATTTAAAACCCAAACGGGATACCTGCCAGTGTAAACAAGTTGACAGACAGCGCCGTAGGTCTTCTTTAAGCTAACTAGATCGTCGCTATCGGTCTCCAGCGAACAAACTTGAAACCAGCGCAAAACACAAATTATTCCACTGTTTAGATTATCAGCTTTGGGCAGCAGTCACCTAGTTAGCGAGCTTACGGCTGATAACTGCCTTCAGAATCAGTTAGCAAGCTGTCAGTGTGTTAGCTTAGTGTGCTAGCCACAGAAAGCAAAGCTCAGCCCAGGTCTACTGTTTACGACGCCAGTCAGGTCCTGTGTACTGTTGTTGACAGTGGCCCAAGCAAATTCAACAACGGCAAACAGTTTACTACCTACCGAATACAATATTTGGGACACACAAAAGAGACACACCTGAAAGTCGGCCAGAATCATTTCTCTATCCATGTTGCTATCGCCGCTTTCGGAGGCCATGGCAATGACTGGCTAAAAGCAATTCTTCTTCCACTGGCTCCCGTCGCTTTCTCGCCTCACAGAGGGACACTGAGTGTTAATAAAATACTTTACTTAGACGTGGCGACGAGTGTGAGGTTAGCAAATTGGAAATATGAAACTTTATCGGGACTCAACCGCTTGCGACAGACAAAATTCTGTAAAGTAACGATACAGTGTTCAGTTATCTCATATCATTATTGTCATCTAGTCCACTGCTTTACGGCTGACGTAAAGTGGCTGCAGATGCTGTAAAACCTCCAGCCGGAGACGTGAGATGGTCGCTATACTAACATGACCGTCTGTCCTTTTCATCGCCACTGAAAAGACTTTGGACCATATTGCATTTTCAGATATAAATATGCTTAGAAGTGTCACTTCACTCTTTACTTAAATACGTAATGGGCATGTCCAATCTGTTCAAGTCATCTTGTATCGGGCAGCGTTTCTTCACAGTAGCTAGACTATAGGCTACAATACATTCTATTAATATTCTGTAAGCCAGTGTTTTCCACATACTTTCAGCACTAGGTCGCGGACTTAATGTCATTTTGTCCCAAATGATAAATAAATGTAGGCGTGGAGTAATTGTAATAGGCTAGCCTACTTTTGAGAGCCACTGACCCAATGCTGCAGCAGGCCAGAAACCAAATGATAGTCTGGGTGACATGATGCAAATGCATAAAAATCAAGAATGTGTGCGATTCATAAGCCCATGTGGCCCCTGACTCACGTGCGCCTCAGCTAGGCTATCAGTAGTGGCACAAAAATAAACCTACCCAGTTAGGGAAGAGGAAGTCAAGTCAGTGACGATGGACCAGGCAGTGGAGGGCAAGAAGAAATAATAATCTTTATTTCTTCTGAATAGGGCACTCATAGTAGCTACATGGATGCACTCCTAGCAATAGACAGGTCCCCGATCAGATGCAGCACCGGGATGATGGAGCAAACAATAACCTATAGATTTGCCATCGCCCAGTGTAAACCTCATTATGTCTATAGGGGTGGATTTGTTTAATCATTTAAAGCATGCCATATCTTCAGACATGTAATAACAGGCCTATGGAAAACTCGATAATTTAAAAAAGTGTAATTTCTCCAATTACACCGACAACAAACGCCGCTGATGCGATGGCGCAAGAGGAATAGGCTACTTGCCTGTTTGTCCTTGAATGGACAAAGCTTCTTCGACCCCTGGCACGAAAAAGCGCAAAACCAACCTTTGGGTCTTTACGCACAGCCGCTATTTTACGCACCATGTTATGTATAACAGCCCACTGACTGATTACACCTGAGAGAAACAGTCACATGACCCGAAATGACCTTATTATTCTTTTGTTTTCCAGCATTGTTATACAGTAGGCTATATCACACCAAACCACGTGTTTTTTAATGTATAAATCATGTCAAGGCGCATATCCTCATGGGCGCTCTACTATGCTGTGCGTGTGAGTAGCCTATACAGTAAATCCCTACACATCTAACAGCAGCTCTACACCAGGCTGCGAGGCTGTAGGCTAGTTTCATCACTAGAGGGCGGCATGATGAAAGGAAACTGAAAGATACCCGATGACAGTTTAAGAAGCCTTTCTTGCTCTTTCACTGGAAATTATGAATTAAGATGAAGTAGGACCCACTGATTATATCAATATGCTACACTGTGATGGTGTTCTCTGGCATAAATTCACTATATTTCAGTAACGAATGCACTATTATGAACGTGACGTTGTTACAGCATCTTGGTTTCTTTTCCAAAGCTCCGGTAAAACAACGTCCCGCCTATCAAGCGTTTATCCAATCACGCCATCTCATCTTTTTTTGGTAAGTATTTCAAATTATAAACTCGTCTAAACGTAAAGTCAATCGCCCTGCCTCCTACAGCTCAATCTACACTTCAAATGAACCATGCTTTGTGATGTCAGTGACGATATTTCAGCAGGAGCTTTGGCTTTTTTTGGACATTTAGCCTGTGCCACATTTTGAAAGAAATTCAATCGGACATCGCTGTGACACTGGTTCATGGAGGATGCAAGGAGGATCATTGCATTCGGTAGGTTTACTTTTGAAAATCAAATGAACCTCGTAATGTTTGTGCGATCGTCGGGCTGATCGGCTCCCCCTCCCTCAGTCTCTGAGTTTGCATGCTGATATTATAACACGATGGCAGCCCGAATACAGTTATTTTGGTAAAGTCTTTTGAAAATGAGCGGGAAGTGACATCACATCTTTTTGGTGATGCGTAGATGTAACAAAATAATGTGGGCTAAATGCGGGCCTATTTATTTTTTCTGTTGCTTTATCAGCGTTCGACTCGGTAGGATGACACCTAATGACCAGATACACGGAGGAAGGCGTGTGTTATGGTTTTAATCACATTTAAAGTAAGGGTTTTATATATTTAATTGTTATAACGTTATTATATTGCAGGTATGTTATGTCCTATGTATACAAACAGGTTTAAGCCTATTGTAAATATGGGTTGCTTATCTATGTCTACAGAAACACATTAAGCCATCAGTTAAACATCAAATTTAGCATCTGCCACAGATCAGCCGCTAAACATCGGGTCACAAGACAGTAAGGGCTGCGAGATAGTTCGCACTCAACACGTGGGGAATAATTGTTGTTTTTATATTGTTTCCACATCTGCTACTTATGACCTAAAATACCCGAAACAGAGTCAACATTATGCCAGGGACTCAGAGGTAGCAGAATATGTCTAGCAGATGAGTTGCATACCTAAAATAACTAATAATAGGAGCGCATTTAATTGACTATTAATTCATTTCAATTTGGAGAAAAAAATGTTCAGAGCTAGAGGGATTTATTGACTGTTCTGGATACTGATTGAGCAAGTCATAAGTAGAATACAAGCTGTGAAAGTGAAAAAGTTTCATAACCCGCCTATCATTGTGTGAAATGCACGTAAGGAAATTATTGCTGGGTAGCCTAAAAGTAAAAAGCAATCCACAACCATAGCCTATGTTGTGGTTATGGGACATTGTTTAGTCTTTCAACATGCGAGAGAAGCTGAAATCGAGGAAAATATGAGTTATTCATGAGTTATGTATACACAAAATTGTTCCTATAGTTCCTAATCAGTTAATATTACATACATATTTGAAAGGAGATAAAGCATTAGAACAATTTAATTGGATTTACAGGTAAAACAAAACAACAATAATAAACTCAGTTCATCTAAACATCCATATGGCAACAAAAAAAAATCAAAGGAAGCCTATTGTACTTTTTTATTTTGCAGGCCTGTCTTTAAGAACTTCTAGCTGCTACTTGTTATAGATTCATGAGATATAAAGCATGGTAAACTGCTCCCATGAGACTTGGCTCTATATATTATTGGGGTTTTTCCATTGGTTTTTGGTTTTGGTAGGTCAAGCCCATGTATGATGTAAGGGTGGGAGGGTGGTACCTAGGATATAGACTGCCTCCTGGATTGACATTTTCTACACATTCTGACAAAAACCTTGGCTTCTATCTCTCATTAAATTTCATATATCATCTCATCATATTTTTTTACAAGAATGGCTGACAGGTCAGTAGCTGACAAGCTTTGCAGTGCCTCGGCCAGGGGAAACCTACCTGAAGTGTTGTTTTTGCTGCAAAATGGAGCAGATGTTAATGGATTTAATACATTCAACAGAACTGCACTGCAGGTTAGTATAAACTGCTTTCAAACTGTTTTTTATGTCAAAGTGTACTTGGAAAAATATATGTGTTTATGTTAACGTTTTTGTAGCCTGTTGTGAGACAAAGCAGCATGTTTGACTTCCTTATCTTTTTGTGCTGTTGTAGGCCTAGGACATATGGCCTATTTATATTTTGTCTTAAAATCTCCAGTAGACATTGTTAATCGTTATATATCATTAAATACACTAGATATATAAATCGTTTTCAAAAGAAGAAATATGTGGACAGATGGCAAAGGGATGGTCTTTGTAGCATGTGATCCATAAACACTAAGTCAAAATAGCTACATAGCTCACCAAAATCGTTCTGAAATTCATAGTTTTGCTGTAATTAATTATTTCATGTCAGTTCATCATAAAATAGCAGAATAATGTGAATAAAGCTTTGTTCTTTATTTTATTGGAACAATAAGATGTTCTTTTATCACTATAAGTTTCAAGTCACAATCTAATGTAGTTTGACCATCACTTTTGCACTTGAGAATTAAGTTATTGAGATACAATAATGAATAAGCCCATTTTCATATTTCTGTAATATAAGAAATGCATGCTACAAAGCAAAGTTTAATTTGAAGGCTACTGATGGAGTGTGAGTTACAAAATGGTGGGGATGAGGAAATGGTGGCTGAGGGCCTGTCTTAGTTACTCAATATACCTGTTCCTGTTTCATATAGGCTTAGATTTCTTTTTAATACGGTTTGCACAGAAACTGTCAAATACTGAAAGGCACCAATATTGATACTAATATTGCTATTACCACTAATGATGGGCATGTTGCATCACCCACCCTGTAGTAATATTGAAAATAATAATAATAATAGTAATAATAGCCTATCTTAAATCAGTGCAGTAGAGTCATTTTAGTCTCCTCATCTTAATAATAAATTACATTTCATATGCACTTCGTTTTTTGTTTCAATGTTGATACAAGGCAAATTGTTAATAGAGCACTAGTCTATTAACTTTAACCCTCTATTTTACATTATAGTTTTTCATTAATTTGGAGGATTGAGGCTCTCTGATAATGCATCAATGAGCCAGAAGGGTGGTAAATTTGTTGGTAAATTTGTTTATTACAGAAGATTTATTAAGATAAATTAGAAATGAGCACTCCTTTCATTTGTTTTGATATATCATTTGTTCAGAAGATTTCTACTGTGCAGCAAGCAGTTTTAGTAATGGTTTTGTATCAGATTGCCCAGAAAGTACAAATTTTCCCCAGAGAATGTCCCTCTGTCATTAGATTTAGGGGGGCCTTTATATCTATATATATATATAGGCTACATATAGGCTACTACACACACACACACAAAGACACACACACTTTTAATCTGCTTGTTTTCCTCCTCCTCATGTCTTTGTGCAGGTGGTGAAGTTGGGGAACACCGCCGTGGTTGAGGCTCTTCTCTTGGTAGGGGCAGACATCAACGTACGCGACCCGGCCTGTGGCCTGACCGTGACCCACGACGCAGCGCGTGAGGGATTCATTGATTCTGTGCGCGTGCTGGTGGACCGCGGGGCAGATACGAACATCGTGGATGAGCAGGGTAACCTGCCTCTTCACCTGGCAGCCAGGGAGGGCCATCTGGAGGTGGTCCAGCTGCTGATCGGACGCACCGCGAACCCCCAAACGCGCAACGGTCTGGGTTACACAGCCAGGCAGCTCGCGTTCCTCAACGGGAGGATGGACACTGTCAAATACATCGACGAGTATTTGAGCTCACGTAAGTCTGCATCCTAAGTTGTTTTTCTTCATTCAAAAATCCCTAATGTCAGTTGAGTTAATAGGTGCACTCCCAATGCAGTCCAATCCAGCACTTTACAATAAGTCCTATGTTTATTTAATTTTCTCTCTCTCTCAATAAAATAACTTCCTACTTACAAATCCAAGTGTGTCCTTTAAAGAAAAATTATTTATTCTTTTTTCAAGATACACAGTACAAGAAAACGACAAAGGCATATTTAAACATTACTGTGTGCATACACCGGACATAGTGACAACAACTGACTGTGCAAGAATTTATAAGCCAATCTGATAGGTTAGCCTGTGTTGTAAAAATAAACGAATAGGCCGAGCTTTCATTTAGACTTCTTTAGTCCATAGCTATTCTCTGGCACAACAAACTGCATCTCTCTATGGCCCGAAAGCTTTATAGGAGACACTAACAGCCTGGGATCCCCATATGGCGTCGGATTAACACGCCGACTTCTTACATCATTTCGCATTTCGCTTATTATTATTTTAGCCTGAAGCAGCAGCAGATGTAGGCTAATGTCTGCTCATTTTAGACCAGGTATAAAATGTATTTTCACAATTTCTACTGTTTCCTGCAGCTTGGTTTCCTGATATGTGTGTATTAGGCCTACTTGCAGTTTTAAATCCCCAGCAAGCTTCTAAATAATTTTCTATAGGCCTAGCCTACAATAAATAAACACGAGCTGGTTTTGTTTCGTTTTAAACTAACTTAGTTTAACCTTCAGTCTGACTCTCAACTCAAATACCCTGTAGATTACACTCTATCCTGTTTGGCAGTTGTGGTTTCATGATGAAAGGCTATCATTCAGTTAAATAAATCATTTAGCCTAACTACCAGCTATTTGAAAGTGTGTATATGTCCATGCTTTCATGATCAGTTTTTTTGTTTATTATAGGTTGCGTAGCTTCAAAATACACAGTGTAGGCCTACGACGACGTGGCTACACACGGCCTGTTTTGCCTTAGAACCTGTGCAGGCTGCATATTGAACATTTTTGGCCTCGACTCGACAATATCGAAAGTGAAAGTCCTGTCTTCTTAATGCTGCTTCCTTAGGCTACTCTGTTTCTTTCTCTGTGTACTTGTGTTAACGGGAACACACAGCCGCACTATGGGACTTATGGACATAAAGTCCAACAATTCAAATGTTCAAGACTGGGTAAAGGTTAACGTTATGTGGTCATGTCAGGCATGGGTCAATGCAAAACGTCAGGGAATGAATATGGGTCAGTGCAGTGTCTTACAAGTGACCACATGAGATGAATACAGAGTCTGTTTGTTAGGCTATATAGTTATTGCTTTGCAGTGAGCATGAGTGAACATTCAAACACACACGTCTTATTACACAAATAAAAGGAAGCAGAAAAACAAGTTCATTAGTGTGCTATTGACAAATTACAAACATTTCATTCAGATATATGGTAGGCTACAATCATTTAGCTACAACCTGATTGTTTTCAGTCTAAATAAGTGTTTCCGTCGTAATTTAATAAAGCCCAAATGAAAGAATATGGTTACTGTTTTTTTTTTAAATCGAAAGGCTGTGAAATTCATGTTCTGATCAGCTAAACCCTTTTGCAGAACCATTTCATCAATAAAAGCTTAAAAATGGCAGGAGTTATTTTGCAGCGATATTGCCCTGCTGAAAGCCTTACCTGTTTATATTATTGTTTAACACGCAAAGACAGACACGATCAGTGGCTTTTATTATTGATGACATTATGGTCACCATTTAAAACTTAGGCTATAATCTCCTTTATTTGTTGACTTAATGACTATCAAGATGGAAGGCTATAAGCCTATAGGCTATAAAAAAGATTTTTTAGTGTATTGTCTTTAATCCACACTCCCCTTTTCAATGTTATTCTCACAAAGTACTCTACATTTTTTGTGATTGGAATAATTTTGATCTCCCTGTCCCTGAGTGCATATGAAAAATAAAACGCTGAGTTACGTTACGTTGTAATTTCGCAGGCGCTTTCTTCTTACATCTTACATGTGTCGCCTATTCCCCTGTTTTGTGCGAAGAAACTATTTAGAAACCTTCCGCTTTGCCCAGGTAATGACACTATTTAGGCTAACTGTCTCTTTAGGAACGGAAGCCATGATTAAAATAGCCTAATTAAAGGTTCGTGTTTGCAGGCCTGTATATGCGAGGCTGGGGAAGAGGCGGGCAGGTTATTTTTTACCACTAACAAGGGGGAAAAAAGGAAAAGGAGAAGGAGGAGTCAACCATATATGGGCGTCAATCCGGCAGTCATTTGATGACCTGACTGTATAGAGTCCGGATTGGCTGGGCAGTGTGAGGAGGAGGCTGATACAGCAGGACCTGAGGCAACGAGCGAGTCAGCGTCTGAAGCTGGTCAAACTTGTAATATCTCAAAAAACAAACACATAGATTACTGTCTACTCTTTTTATACCATAAGTGGAGTTTTATGTGACTCCTTTTTGAAAAAGCCGATTTTTATCTCCTTTTCAAAATCGCATTTTGGTCATGACTTGGTTTATTTCTTCTTTTAGTTCAATGGGTTTGTGTGCCATATATTTACGAGTAGCCTATAATGTTGGTATGTTATTGTGCATGTATTATTGCATTAGTAGTGTTTATGTTTGCATATGGAAAAATTAAACTCATTGGGTGTGTTTTTCTCTGTCTCACAGAGTAGAGGAGGAAGAGGATGAAGACAAAGGCTTCTTTTGCTTCTGCCAGTCTACTCATGTCTTTTTGCAGATAGGCTACTTTAACCCTTCGTTTGTTATAGGCATTTCTCTTATGTACATGTACATGCTGTTTGGTTACCCAAAGAAGAGACCAAGCACATGTTAATAAATGCCAAAATAAAAAAGACAATAACACTGATTACTATATGGTTCATGATCATGTTTAATTATAATTGTTTTTTTTATTCTGTCATGACAGGAGAGCCACCTTGAGACATTATCTTGTATCCTTATGCAGATATTTTATTCTGTAGCATCATAGTGTGACCAGCAGAAACATTAAGGAAATTTTACTACAGCTGTTATGTTCCAATAGCACTTGAAGTCAGTGTAAAAATTAGTCAGATCAGACTTCACAGGAGGCCTGACAGTGGTAATAAATTCCTAATTTGTTCCATGTATTTACAATGAGGCAAAACATACAACCCCTGGACTGTAAGAGTGACTGTCTATCAACAGAAGGTCTAATATTCATTTTGTTAACCTATAGCTGCACCTATTCAGGAGGGGGGCAATTACATTTGGAAAGGTCAAGTATCTGCACAACTTCCTTTTTTCTTTGACTCCTACCAAAACGCTGTGTGTGTGTGTGTGTGTGTGTGTGTGTGTGTGTGTGTGTGTGTTTTAATACAGTTTAGTATGTGCGGGCCAGAGATTGTCTCTTTCTGGAAAATAAGCGTTACATCCGGCTTGCATCAGGTTAGAAATAGCCGCTGTTCAGCATGGCTATTTCTATGTGAATGCACTTTGTTTGCATGTTGATTATTTTTAATATAGCTATTTCTGTTTAATACAATTATTTTACTTTTTTTTTTATCTACATGAAGGTATCGCTAAAACCACTTTACAATATCATAGGCTACTTGCTGCCTAGCCTACTAATGTTGTCTGTATCTTTTGACATGTAGGCCTAACCATGTAACCAACCAAACCACTTTCGCTGCATATGATTTGCCTTGTCCATTAGCTCAGGCACCCAATACAATATGATTCTTCCTAAATCATCAATGAACATAATCTAAACGTAGATAATTGCTGTGGCCATAAAACGGGCCAGCCCACTAAATGAAGTTGGCTAAGCATATATAGGCCTATAGATGGCGACCTGTGTGCTGCGCGTAAGCCTAACAGAGCTCTCTCCCTATGCTTCTCAAAAATGATTGTTTCCTAAACAAATAACAAATGGTAACCTGCTGAGTGAAATCCAAGATCGGTTTCACCGGCGACATTCTATTTAATGAATTCACCATAGTGCATTGCTATGAAACAAAAAGCAACAAATGCGAATTAGAGAAAATAAATCATTTCCATCAGACAAAAGCCATGCTCCGCGCAAGGAGAGGATTCAGTTAATAGTCTATATTAGAATCAATACAGTGATCAGCTTACTTAGATGTTTATACAGTGTGTAGCAAAAATTTGTTCTGCATAAACTAATTACATTTTGTTTACGCCGTTAATGGAAAGTGAAAGTAGGCTATTTCTGCCGTCTTGTGAGAGGGCGATGCAGGCTGCTTTCCAACACGGCCACCAGCGGCATAGTGTGCACTTACTGGATTTGAGTTATATTAGTAGAACAACCAAACCTTCGATTTAAAAAGGTATTTGCCTGATTTTCTAAATGTTTCCATCTGCCCAGCTCATTAATATCTGGCACAAGCGCACGTCTATCCGCAAGGGAGACCGGAGCTCTCCTCTAACCGCGCGCACACATGTTGAATGACAGCTCATTTCGGTTAATGCAGCAAAATGTTGATGGATAGGCTAGTTGTTAACTAAACTCGTTGGAACGAAGGTATGAAGTGCAAATGTAGCCAAGTTAAAAGTAGATTACTGGCCCAAATCAATAGGCCTACATACTCGAGTAAAGAATACAGACTTTAGAAAGGAAAAGTTACGGTTCCAAAAAAAAGTTTATACTCATTTGCGTTAGGCTATTTGTAAGTTACTAGTTACTAGTAGTAGAGTTACTACCCACCTTTGACTGTATGTTAATATAAAGTTTCCTTTTCACTGCCGATTGTCCTGCCCAAAAATCGAAGTGTCATTGAAACTTCATATAAGTTAATTGTGCGCAAAATGTGAATGTTATGCTCTTTAGAACAGGTTTAGAGCGAGGGAGAATCTTATCCTTTGGTCCTCTGTTCAAATATTAAACTATAAAGATCATTTTTATCGCCAAGGCTCCGCGTAAAGCGCCGCGGTGAAGTTAGTTATAGTTGGATGCAGTAGGGCGGTTTGCTCTCCTCCCTACTCTCAGGCTTAACCACACTGCGTTTACTTAGGGACCATCTGTAAATAACTGTTTAAATGACACAATACCAATGTTCTTTCAACACTTTCATAATGACTCGCCCGTATTAGTGAAAATTTTCTATACAAAACTTAGACTCAGTTGTTGTAATGTAACACACCCATTTTGATTTCTAGTGTGTAATTCATTTATTTTTCATAGGCCTATATTTTATAGAAAATAATTTTCCAATAGCCTCAAGTTAATGTGACCTAGTGACACTAAATTAATAACACTGCAAACAGGGGGAAATATGACACATATATTACATTGTAGTGCTTCTGCTGTTTTACACAAATATTTTGATAGAGAATTTGTGACATTGTTCATGAGCCTCCATGTAATGTGCCCAGTTACTCCAAATCACCATACACTGGAAAAATAGGACACAACCTCTTGACACTGGATTTTATTTTATTATCAGTGCAGCAGTACATTTGGTATTGATTTGGAGTTACATTACATGGAAGCTATTGAAAAAAACTAATGAACTTTCTATAAAAAATTTATAATAATAGAAGAACCACTAAAAATTTGTTTTGTTTTTTTTAAATACCAGAAATGATTGCTACAGTGGTCCAAAAACAACACACCTCTTCACAGTACATTTTGTTATTGATTTGGAGTCACTAGGTCCTATTACATGGAAGCTATTGGGAAAAAATGCCATTATTTTTATGATCAATCAATTTAAAGTGTGCGTTGGTGCAGAAGTGAAGCAGGTATTTTTGCTTGTGGTTGCATTTTATACAATGTGACACCATCTAAGTATGCATATGGCCATAGCTAAGTGATGAGGAGAGGAATGAGTAAGTGATGAAGACTCCTTGAAGAAACGGCATTTGACTGATACTGTCAGAAAAGCCTGAAGCTTTTGTGATCAGGATAACGAACATTAACCAAATGCTGCTTTAAAAAAATGATGTGAGTTGATGAATTATGCATACATATGTAAGGTTATTACAATATCCGAGAATGTACATGCACCTCAACAATTTGACTTGTAGTGTGAGATGTTTTGTCCTGTAGATAAATAACATATTGTTCTGGTATTTACAGAGTCCAGAAGATCTGTCAGTTGTTAACACTTTGGCTACATTGAACACACGGAGCGCATGCGCCGAGCAATGTTACACCTGCAGCGCACGTCTCTGCTGGGTTAGGGCAAAATAAGACGGTGAGCTTTCTTGTTGGGATTGTCTCTTCAGTCTTTAGACCCAGTAGTTTGTGTAAAACGGGAAAAATAAATGCCCACAGGGTACCCAAGACACCAAAGTAGAAGCCCTGTTTGATAGCCTACAATAAAATATAGACACTTTAATAACTTAAAATAATTTCTCTGTAACAGGGCCGCGCACACCTAGCGTAAAAAATGCATTAAAAATAAAATACTGTTTTTAAAGCGGATTTCCGTGGCTCATACCAAGACCTGGTGTTCACAGTGGAAGCGTAATGTTGCAGCAGCCGCTTCGCAAACAGTCCTCATAATTTACGTGCTCAAGGTAGCCAAGGGGTAACGAACATGTCTATTTGTGTAAAAAACAAACAAACAAATAAAAGCACATTATTCCCTTTCTATTGTCCACAGAAGAAATAAAACAAACCCAATATTATGTTCTGTTGCAATGTCTATTTATTATTTGCCTGTAGTATGCACACTTATGCTTACAAACAAGGAAAGGTCTAACAAGCACCCTTACACAAACATACACCATTCACATATGAACAAACCTTGATGTTCAATCCTGTACTTGAGAGAAAATCCACCCTAAAACGGCACATACTTTATATAATTCCTGTGAGTTTTAACGTTTTAAATTGGTCTCTCCCGAGAATCAAAGTCATAGCCAAAGCTCTATCTGGCCTGTGATTAAGCAAGATTTTGTGCAGTCGTTTCATTGTTAGAATGTCAGGCCATCAGTGTTGACGCCCATGAGTCATTTTCCGGGGATGTGAGCATATAATGGGAAAATCTATTTGGCTACAAGAGCTCAAAAACATCTCTTAAGTTAGCCAGGGTGTCACAGAAGCAGCTTCACAAAGTGCCACGCTGCCAGTCTTCACATGAATCAGGAGATGTGGGTTGTATTCTTAGACACAGAATATTTTCTGAGGAACTATGGCAGATACAAACAGCCCCCCCCCCCCCCCACACACACACACACACACACACACACTGGTATAACTTTGGTTATCCCCCAAAATCCCAAGCATCGAAAGTCCCTAGCCTTGATTAGGTCCAGACTGTGATCAAAAATCTGCCAACTCTGCAAAAAGCAGTGAAAAATGTGCAATTTCACAGGAATCCTCAGGAAGAGAGCCAGGTGACGAGACATAAATCCAAACATCCCAATACAATGACAATTTATTTATTCATTTTGTGACAGACGATTTTCTCGACAGCTTTTGTAGTCTTCATGACATGACATGTACAATGACAGCTCAGCAGCAGCATTTCCTGTCTGAACTGTCTGTATAATTACCCCTCCCCCTCATGTTTCTTTAGTTAGCTCTGCTCCATATTTTAGCAGCTGATACCTACTCTCATTAGCATGTAACCTAAGGCCATGAAGCTCCACCTTACTGATGGAGGACAATGTACAACATAAAGAATTATGTAGATTAAAGTACTGTGCAAAAATTAAGGTGCTAACTGCCCCCCCCACCCCCGTATTTCTCAAACATACACAAAGAGGCCATGAAGCCTAGTACAAACAAACACACACACACACACAGATCACTAAAGGCAAGACTGTGTTGGATCTGTATCATGACCATAAATAATAATGATCATTTTCTGCATAATTCAAAGTCTTACCGACTCACTTACAGGCCAAAGTTAGCAG